GAGTGAGTGAGAGGAGTGAATAAGTGAGAGGAATGTGAGTGAGTGAGTGAGAGGAGTGAGTGATCGAGCCGTACACGGCACTTACTTGGAGGCGGTGAATATGAAGAATTGTTTTGAACCCAAGTGGATTGCTCCTTGTGGCTAAGGTTTTCGGGTTCGTGCGAAGAAGAATTCTCGGGTAAATGCTGCAAGTCTTCCCCAGGGTAGTAAGTCCTGGAGGAGGAAGAGCTTTCCTCCTTTAAAGCGGAGGAGGTGACGGCAAGCACTGAGGGCTCTGAGGGGGAGCCCTGGCTCCTGAAGGGCTTTCGCTTTGAGATCAAGGATTCCACACTGAACGGGAGGCTGGAAATCTGAGAGTTACATCCATTCGAGTCCATGAGGGAAGCGTCGCTGCAGTCTCGCCCCTTGGCTGCCGCCTCGGAGTCTCTGTGCTCTTTAATCCCCTGGTTGTGAGTGCCTTGGACAGTGCTCATCGTCCGACAGGAAGGGGCCATACACCTGGGGGAAAACCACTTGTCAGTCAGTGCAGTAAAGCTCTCAGTCCCTTCTGTTTGACATGGAGGGCCAGAGAGAGACGGTCCCAAAGTCAAGCTCCTCAAGTCTGACTTGCCTACGCCTTGGAGCCGAGTTAGATCCGCTTTAAACTTCTGAGAGGGTTTGCTGTCATGCTGCTGCCCTCCAATGAGATGACAGGCTCAGGGAGCTGACGAGCAGAAAGCGGAGCCGATTGGTTTCTGGGTTGTAAAAGGCAGCGATCATTCTAAAAGAAATGACGAGTTACTCAGAGATCTCTTGCTGGGCACGTTTATTGATAGCTGAGGGGCGACTTGCTCCTTGGAACACGGTCGCAGGAGCAATTTCAACGCAATTAAGCAGTGGGGCAGCCTTTAGCAAGATCTCATTCTCATTACGAGTTACTTATTGAAACCATACTTTCGGAGAATTAGACAAACAAAAATAACCAGCTCGCCTGGTATTTAACTAAAAGCTTCTTAAGTATGAGTGGTTCAAGATATATTTTCTGCACATTTTCAATCAGGACAATCTTCCTTCTTGTCTGCCCTAGTCCCTGCAACGCCACGACCCCCCTCCTCTCAGCCAAAGACATGGTTCATCTAAAAGCAAAAGCAATTCTTCAAGATAAGTCAAGGCATTTAATAGGCAGACAAGTTATGTTATGAAAGGCGCCAGCATCGGCAAGATCAAACAAGAGAAGCTACCTCAGGGAGAACCGTTAACCAAACTTAACCAATTGTCCTCAGAACTTTCATGTTTGCTCGGCAGTACTCTAGTCGTGTGCTAAGAATATTCTTATAACGTCAAGAATGTTTTTATGAAGCTTCCACACACACACAGACACACAGGTCATCATTTAGATATCAGTTGCTTTCTATGCCATACACATTCCGAACGCTAACCGAGTTTACTGCTAACTTTTTGCTTCTAAATTTGACAAGTTTTTTTTGGCGTCTGCAGACGTTTTTTAAAAAAAGGGTGATTGTTCTCTGTGCCTGATAATCACAAGCGACGCGGGCGCTGGTTTGTATTTAATTAATACTCAAACTTAAGCGATGCACCATAAATTAGCATGGCCCTGACACGTCTGGGCAAGCTCACTCAGGACCCGGTTCACCGGAAAATTCTCATCAGCCGTTCGTTGGAAACCGTTTACCGTAAAAACAGGAGCGAATTCAATTCCCACATTCACATGGATTCGCCTCTGATCGCTGGTTTTTAGTGAGAGAGAGATACAAACTGGTTACATTTCAGGCGATGGGAGAGCGGTCAGCACTCAATAGGTGATAGAATTTATTCCTATCCTGTGACACATCAAATGTTCTGAGGAAGGGTCACCGGACCCGAAACGTTAACTCTGTTTTCTCCTCCACAGATGCTGCCAGACCTGCTGAGCTTTTCCAGCAACTTTGTTTTTGTTTCTGATTTACAGCATCCGCAGTTCTTTTGGTTTTTAAATGTTATTTTATCTCGGTTCTCACGAAGTAATGATTTGAAAGTTTGCAAGAAGTCCGCTTTAAACAGATTTGCAAACTTATCACGTATAACGTTTGCCATTAATGGACAGAAACTCTGTAAAAGAAAAAAAGTAAGCTCTGAAATTATCTTTAAATAAGATGGTTTTAATGAAATGAAGATGCAATTGTTTCGTTTTGGCCTCGCTGGAGTAACTGTTTTTTTTAGTAAGAGTTCAAGCCATTGATCCTGACAAGAGTGTAAGATTCCACTGGTCTTGGGGAGATTGGAGTAAGGACAAATTCCTGTAGAAAGCATCCCGCGTTAGAAATCCATCAAATTGACAAAGCAATCTACTTTCCCCACTTCCCCCGCCCCTCACGGGTTCGGGGTGATTCAAGAAACTGTTGTTATTTTGTAAAATTCTTCCAGAAGTACTTCTCTTCATATTTTCAAGCGGAATGACCGCCTTCAGCAGCAACTTGTCGCATCTGTGAGGTAAACCACTGCCTCTCTCCTTGCTGTTTGAAAGAAACACTCGTTTCGGGCTGTAGTCGGCGAGAGGTTAGGAAGGACGCTCTTGACTAGACTTGTATTAAACAGGAATACCCGACCGAACAAAACTGCTGCCTGGGAGAAAGGTGCTGGAGTCAAGGATGTGTTACGGATGCACTAGCCTAAACAGTGAGAACACAGCTGCGCCTGAAAGACACCGCGCCAGCCTTATCCAAAAACTGCCAAATGTATGTTCATTTCAACAACATTTCACAGCGCGTTTGTTAGCAAAGACCCCCTTCCTGGTGTTTCTCATTGTGGGTTTTAAAGTATCTTAGATTGCACGCTTATTTTTACAGTTACATTCGAAGAGTTGACTTTGCAGGGGTTATTCTCAATTATAACATTTCTACCCAATTAAACGAACGAAACTCAAACATCTTCATTTCGTTTGAATTTACATTCCAAGACCCAGTTTGTACATTAGCCCTGTTAATATTGAATCGACCGCCCCGTACTCCAAACATTAACTGAATTAAATAAATGCGCTGGCCTTATCGCTCTCTGGAAGAGAAACGAAAGGTTTGTGTGTACAGGATACAGCGCGGGAGGGTCATATAGTTACTGCATTCTTATTATCCGCCCGGGTTCTGTGATGTGGTCAAAGGCAGACAGATCTCAGTGTTTCAGGTAGGAAGAGTTCAGCTGGAACAGAGCCTAAAGTAACTTGCTACTTTGGCAATCCGTGTTCCTCTTATTGTAACAGCCAGAAGTGTCAGTTTTGGGGAACACATGCCTTAAAGGAGGGCACAAAAAATGACAGTAAATGACATAAGGCCCCAATAACCTGTAAAGGGAGTTAAAAATAGACTGTTTATATTTTAAGTAATTGGTCATCGTTAATCTATATTCGTTATATCGGAGCTTCCGTTAGTAGCTTACTGTTGGTCGCTGCGCCTGAGCCCACCTTCAACGGGATTACACTCTCGTGAGATTTCATGTTCCTGATTATTTTAGTGCATTTCCTGGTGTTCTTCTGTACGAACATTGATAGTTTCTAGTTGGGCTAAACTTCATGAATAGCTATTGAGTTCGCACGTCATTTTTGGTGTTGGGGTGCGGGGGTGCCCTTAAAAACTGCCCAAACTATGAACGTAATACTACGAGCAGGGAAGTTAAAACTTTTCCGAATGGAAGTCCAAATGTGTAAGTCGCTCTCACCCGTCCCGATGTCTCAAAAGCCCCACTTTTTTAAAAAAAAATTCTATCAGTGACCCACTCGAGCCTTTCCAGTGTCTGTCAGTGATGTGGCTACACAATACAAGGGGAGACTTCAGAGATGCACTTGGTTTGATGACTGGATTTCAGATAGATAGATGGCTAAAATGCTCCTTTTTAACTTCTGCCTATAAAGTTTTAACTACTTATAAAGTTAAAACAGAAACTGCAGATGTTGTAAATCTGTAAAGAAAACATAAATCGCTGCTGGAGCTCAGCAGGTCTGGCAGCTTCTGTGGAGAGAAAGCAGAGTTAACGTTTCGGGTTCGGCGAACCTTCTTCAGAAGCAATTTCTGTTTGTTGTTGCTATTTAACAACATTAGTGTAAAAGTAGATTCAATCAATCGTTATATTTTAGAACTTTTCTTAGAAGTGTATTGCATCCAGTCTGTAACGTATTAAATACAAATAGGATTCTAATTGCTATCGTCTTTAAATTCATTCGTCGACTCATCAAATTAATTAAGTCATCAACTTCTAAAGCACACGCGATCATTGTCACTCGGTCCATTTCAATCGGTTTCAGCAGGTCAACTTTTCAGCCTGGGACTTGAGACAAGCCACGGCGGAATGGCTGTCGAATTTTGGCGTGTGTTGTACCCATTTTACATTAAATCAATATTTTGCTGTTTTAAGTGTAAAACACACACAAAAAGAGAGCCATAGACTCAGTTCAAATAAAAAAGATTGCGCTCAACAAGTAAACATATGAGGCAAGAACATATGTAACATTTCGAAGAGGTTTTGTCAGAGAAAATTATCCGAGAGACCAACAGATAAAGCATTTCATTAGGCCTTCAAATTTGCAATTTGTCCTCAGTCTCCTGTTTAATTTACAAAACCCATCGGCGACAACTGGGTCTCTACAAAAATTATACTCCACATCACTCTCTTCATGGATGTTGTGTTTCTCCATTAAAGTTCAAGTGCTACTTAAAAACAAAAAAAAATTATCTGACCGAGACTTGCATCTTCCTGAATACCTGCACGTTTGAAAGTGCACCGTTAGGAGAGTTTGTGGGAAATAGGGTTTTCATTGTAGGAGAGCAGCCTTGAATGGAAATGGAGATGTTTGTGTTCGGATGTAAATGTTGTCTGTCGATCACAATCCCAATAAAACAAGAGCGCCCCTTTGTAACGCTGACCCTGCAGATAACATAGAACCACTGGGAAATTTTTTACTGGCTTTTGAGGGCAAGCAATGAAAATGGCAATCTCTACAAAACAAGTAAAATAGCCACCTCTGTATTTGCTAATTCGCGATTTATGCGCCTGCCTGAAATATATTTATTTTTTAAAAAAAATACGTACAAAACGTGTTTTGTTATAACCAGCTGACTGTCAGAGAGGAGCGGAGGCTTGGAGCCGGGGGAAGATGCATGTTAGAAACTCTTTGTAGTTTGACATATGTTGTTAGTAATTAATTCAGCCCAGCCTAATTTTTGGTCTTTCACTTACTGTTAATTTTAAGTGGAACCAGACACTGAGTAATGATATTGTTAACGTGCACGCGGGAGAGCTTTTTGAAAAAAAAATCAAGCCCCACTGCGACTTTGATTCCGAACGTTTTAAGAAGCGGCCAAACTTGAGGAACGTTTGCAGTGCATTCGGGCCGCACCCCAACTCAATGGGGACGTGAGTGGGGAACTGTGCAGATTACACAGCGCCCAAGGGAGGGTTTCAATTGCTGTGGCAGATACTGTCAAACTACTCTGTAAACGTTATGCAATCTTTGGAAAGAGCTGAAAGTGCTTTGAAATCAGTGCACTCAATCGCTGCTGGAACTTCTTGTCTCAGTTTTTGACAGCGTCCAAATGGGCGTTAACTCGGGCGCCTTGCCTGTTAAAATGGCATTACCCCGATCGGGCTTT